CATCAATATTGACTGCATGATCACTATTTTTTACAATGCTAAATTACATTATATATGCGCATTTTGTAACAATTAAAAGTGAATGCTTTTTCGTATGCTAAATAGTTTTATTTTTTGCTGGCACTCGCGGTTTCAAGAAGATGCAATATTGCTTCGTCGAATTTTTAAGTGCTTTGAAATGAAATATAGCTCTAGTGCGAGCCCTATCGATTCAGTCCGTATAGCCGTGTTCGATTATAGCCCTTATCGATTCATGTGTTTTAATTTAATTTAATTATTTATTTATTAAACGCAGACGTATAGCTGTGTTTGGAGCTGTAAATTGTGCTTGGGGTATAAAACAAGCCTTGCAATAGCTGCTCAAAGTAAGTTTAGTATACTTTTTATGTTTGTCTATCTATTGAATTAAAACTGATTGAAAAGGGGTATTATCAGTGCAATCACATAGCTAAAGTCATAACTTTTCTGTCAAAAATGAAATCTGAAATTCAACATTGTCGGCCTGTAATCGCGAGAATTTAATAAATCCTGGCCGAAAAGATCAAAGTGAATGCTTTTTCGTATGCTAAATGGTTTCATTTTTTACTGGCACTGGCGGTTTCAAGAAAATGCAATATTGCTTCGTTGGCGTTTTAAGTGCTTTGAAGTGAAATAGCTCTAGCACGAGCCCTTATCGATTCAGTTAGTGCTGAAATTTTAGCCCAATCTTTTATATTTGGTTTCTGATATAGTGATTGCAAAACAAATTTGGCCTGTTCAATGCAGTTAAAAAACGTAATCCTGGCTAAAAATACAGATGTAAATAAACTAGAGGTTCTTTGATCAGAATATATATGGATTCTGTGTCTTCGGTGTCTTCGGTGTCTATAGTGGCAAAATCGTCTAAAGGTTCATTTGACGTTTATCTTTGAATTTGTCTTATCAATAATGTCACTCGGCATTATTGAGGGAAAGTTTGCTACATCGTGGACAGCATATTAAGATTGTAGTCTTCGAATAAAATCGAATTTGTGCGTAGATGTCTCAATTTATGATTGGATATTTATTTCTCGAAATATTACAGCCTATAAATAATCCCATTAACCTGCATTTCCAAAAATTCCATTTTTGGAGTTTTTACCAATTTGAAACAAAGCCATAAGGGACGAGTAGCTATAGACCTTAGCAGTAACAGTCATAATTAAAGAAAGACGAAAGTTTCACTTCCATGAACGTAATATGAATGGCAATTAAGTCATATATGATTCGTGAGTTTAATTATATTTCGGTAATTATATTCTCTCGTTTCTAGCGGTGATCATTGTATAATCCGAATAATGTTTGTTTTAATAAAAGTCGTGGGGATTTTCGTAGCTAGCAGTTTTAGTATACAGTACTGCTCAGAAATAACCTAATCAAAAACGCGTTCCGAACGCGTTCCAGCGCGCATTCGATATTCATCGGCTATCGACTCCGGATCTTGTCATCAATACCCGGATATTCCCGATTTAGTTTAATCGCACTGTGGTTTAATCTATGCTCCATGCCATAAATGGCGAAGCTGTCAGTGTACGCTAGAAAAAGGGTTATTTATTTAAAATCCACAATGAGTAGGATAGGGGTTAGAATATGGGTAATGAGACAGTTAACAACAGTGGTCTGTGTCCACAATACTGCATATTCCACATAAGATGACAGTAATTTACACAATAAAAAAATTAACTGGTTTGCTATTGAATACGACTAGAGTTCATGAGATTAAATATTCTGCATCATTACACCATGCTTCTCTACACTATAGTGTATGTATATGTATAATATGATATGTATGTATATATACAGTATGATACTGTATGTTTATATACAGTATAATGTAGTGATTCTGTGGGTTAAAGGTGTACAAAGTACGCAAAGGTGCGGACATTCACACCTCAAAGAATTTTATCAAGTTTTCCATGTATAGTTACTGTATAGTGTAGTATTAAACATATACAGCATGTTTACCTCCAAATAATAAAAGAAAGTTATACCATATACAAATTTATGAATAAATGATAAAGTACTATTCGACACAACTATGTGTCTCCACTGTTGTGCTGTGTTTAAAACTCAACTGATATTTCAATATAAAATACTATAGTGCTGCTTGATAATACTAGGTAGGGCCACAGTATATCATCTGTTAGGAATGACTAGATGAACTGATGAAAATAGCGAATGAAAATAATCTTATTCATTATGTCTCATTTTGTCCAATTGCATGAGTTCATTTGAACAAGCAAGTTAATTAATATTGAGAAAAATAGTTAAAAAACGTTAGAAACTCCTTCAAAAAGTAGATTTCTCTGGCTATCTTTAAAACCAGGAACGGGGAATTAAGGAACGGGGAACGATGAACGGGGAACGAGAATCTCCGGAATCTTTAAAACCAGGAACGAGAATCTCTGGAATCTTTAAAAGCCGGAATGAGAATCTCAGGAATCTTTAAAACCCGGAACGAGAATCTCCGGAATCTTTAAAACCCTGAGAATTTCCGGAATCTTTAAAACCCGGAATGAGAATTTCCGGAATCTTTAAAACCCGGAATGAGAATTTCCAGAATCTTGAAAACCCTGAATGAGAATCTCCGGAATCTTTAAAACCCGGAATGAGAATTTCCGGAATCTTTAAACCCGGAATGAGAATCTCCGGAATCTTTAAAACCCGGAATGAGAATTTCCGGAATCTTTATAACCCGGAATGAAAATTTCCGGAATATTTAAAACCCGGAACGAGAAACATGTAAACAGAAGGATCGATCGGAGCAATAAAATAAATCCAGTTCTAAACAAGTTGTGTCATTCGATATCAACTTTTTTGACATAAAAACAGTCAATGTATGATAAAATGAGCCTGCCTCTTGAATTCTGTCGTTGGAATTTTCCAGATTCGGTCTAAAACGTGTAATTATGTTATTTGAATAGCCATGCCACAGTGCTACTACGCACGCAATTTGTTAAATCAATGTCAAGTCTAAAATATCGTGAAAATCAAGCGTTATCAGAGTGCTTCTTATCCAGGCGAAATATTGGACCATCACCGAAGCCCTATTTTCTCTAACAATGAGTTTTTCTTCGCCTCGTCGTGGTCCTTGTCCTCCGCTGTCTAACCAATATATGAAATGGACATTGGAAATTGGAATACACTGGACAAGTGGCAGAAGGCATTCAATACGATCGAATTATGAAATTAATACATGTCCACATCCGTGGAAAAACGTTACAAAGTGAACTATCTTTTGTGTAGTCAGGTGCATCATATCTTCTGTGATTAAAGCTGTTAAAAAGTAAGTTTTATCAAACCTAATATTACTATTAATATTGAGAGTAGTTTGGATAAGCTAGCACTCAGTTCTAGCTTATTTATATTAAACTGAAAAACACTGAAACGGTGAAACCCTTGCCCTCTCCTCTGCCCTCTCCCCTGCCCTCTCCCCTGCCCTATCATTTCAATGCTTATAATTGTAGTTACAGGTTTGACGGGTACTCTCAGTGTATTTATAAACATTTTTGGTACATTTTTCCACCAGAGCCAGTAGGATGCACATAGACAGTCCAATCTAATTTATTCACACCAAAAATTTGAGCAGCTTTTGAACAAGTGAAATTATAACCATAATTAACCTTTCCTCAGAAGAAAGAAATCAAAGGCCTACCAATAACAATGTTAATTTAGCTTGTTTATTCAGCACATACCATGGTCTTTGGTTATAAAAAAGCAGCACTTGGTTTGCCACTAGCTATTTGTTTTCCAAAGGGGTTGACAAGTGTTCACTTTGTTGTATATATGACATTTCAATTGTCATTCAGCTTAGGGTTGTTAATAGTAATATTAGGTTTGATAAAACTTACTTTAATTTTAACAGCTTTAATCACAGAAGATATGATGCACCTGACTACACAAAAGATAGTTCACTTTGTAACGTTTTTCCACGGATGTGGACATGTATTAATTTCATAATTCGATCGTATTGAATGCCTTCTGCCACTTGTCCAGTGTATTCCAATTTCCAATGTCCATTTCATATATTGGTTAGACAGCGAGGACAAGGACCACGACGAGGCGAAGAAAAACTCATTATTACAGAAAATAGGGCTTCGGTGATGGTCCAATATTTCGCCTGGATAAGAAGCACTCCGATAACGCTTGATTTTCACGATATTTCAGATTTGACATTGATTTAACAAATCGTGTGCGAAGTAGCACTGTAGAATGGCTATTCAAATAACATTATTTCACGTTTTAGACCGAATCTGGAAAATTCCAACGACAGAATTCAAGAGGCAGGCTCATTTAATCATACATTGACTGTTTTTATGTCAAAAAAGTTGATATCGAATGACACAACTTGTTTAGAACGGGATTTATCTTATTGCTCTGATCGATCCTTCTGTTTACATGTTTCTCGTTCCGGGTTTTAAAGATTCCGGAAATTTTCATTCCGGGCTATAAAGATTCCGGAAATTCTCATTCCGGGTTTTAAAGATTCCGGAAATTTTCATTCAGGGTTTTCAAAATTCTGGAAATTCTCATTCCGGGTTTTAAAGATTCCGGAGATTCTCATTCCGGGTTTTAAAGATTCCGGAGATTCTCATTCCGGGTTTTAAAGATTCCGGAGATTCTCATTCAGGGTTTTCAAGATTCTGGAAATTCTCATTCCGGGTTTTAAAGATTCTGGAAATTCTCATTCCGGGTTTCAAAGATTCCGGAAATTCTCATTCCGGGTTTTAAAGATTCCGGAAATTCTCATTCCGGGTTTTAAAGATTCCTGAGATTCTCATTCCCGTTTTTAAAGATTCCGGAGATTCTCGTTCCGGGTTTTAAAGATTCCGGAGATTCTCATCCCCCGTTCCTCATTCTCCGTTCCTTGATTCCCCGTTCCTGGTTTTAATGATAGCCCGCAAGATATCATGCAAAACCGGCAAGCATGAATAATTACACATTGTCATTGTCACAGATGTGATGAATTGTTGTTCGTGTAAACGAACGCTAAGCAACAAGCAAACTTCTTTGCCACTTTATTACACATTATTATTAAAGTCCATCACTAAAAATTCATACACAAAATACAAAAATGGACTTCGATACAGTTTGAATGCTGCTGTGTTGTCGCCAACAATGAATTAAGTGCAGGTATGAACAAACATGCAATTGTTAACTGAAATAGCTTAGCTGAGAGCACCGGTCGATCATTATAATTCAGACCTTCGTTTCACAATATCGGAACCTCAATTGTTTTACATGTAAGGCACAGTATGATATGAATACAATTCGAAATACGGTAATTACCGTGACTACTGTATACACTGTTTAAATGTATACAAACTAAAAACTAAAAACAATGGTTTATTAACTACCGAAAGTTTCTTTGATCAAAGACGGCAATAAGAGTCATCTAATTTTAACAGCGTTTTCCCTGTCAAATACTGGCGTTGGTTTAGCATAGCATATCCTAAGGCCATCAAGTCCGAATTTCTCAAGATGCTACATACATATTACTATCATTTTTGAATGAGATACACAAGCCACACATGCGCTTATTTTTACGCGAAGTAAAGTAGCGCTTGTCCCGCATGCTAAAAGCGGAATTAACGAACCGTGGCATAAGCATGTTGACTAGCTGGGGCCGGTTGTTCGAAAGGTGGATAAGTCGCTATCCAACGGATAAGTCGCTATCCAACGGATAAGTTTTATCCAGCGTGTGATTTGCGTTGCACGAAGCTTGGATAACTTTATCCAGCGGATAAAAATCGCTATCTACCGGATAAATTTATCCAAGGTCTGGAGGTGGTTTAAATCCACTATCCAGTGGATAAATTCAAAGATACAAGGTAACACTGTAAACATTTATATAAAATAGGACAAAAATACCATATTCCTGTTACTGTGTTTCAACAAACTAATACACATCATGATTGTATTCACTATTAGAAATGTTTTCGAAGTGCAATTTGTCGCAGCAGCGTTTCACGTTGCCTACACATTCCGTTCCGAGCGGCGATTTTTTGGAGATCCTCGCATTTATAACAGGCGGTAAATTTACTATACGCTTCTAATCAGTTTATAAACGCGAATATGCAAAGAAAGATTCAACCTATTCCAAGGAAACTTGCTATATCTAAGTAATTTAATTCACGAACATTAAAATAGTGTTCCTAAATTTGCTATGGAACCGAAAGGCAAAGCGTTGCAAGGTCAAGGAATAAAATTGCAATGTGTTTAATTAATAAAATCACTATGATGTAAAGTGCAAAGTTCGAGCAAATCACTTGTTTAAGTCTTTTCCATTCATTAACTATACTCAAGAATTCGTAATGATTATGAATTCAATGTTGTAAATGCTTAGCAACAGCTGACGTTGTGGCACGAAATTTCAGGATAATCCTGTTTTCTTCCGGTAAATTTTAACTTATCTATTGGATAGCTATCCACTTCACTATCCACGCTTCGTGCAACGCGTTTTTATCCAATGAATAACTATCCACTGGATAGCAGATTTATCCGTTGGATAGGACTTATCCGTTGAATAAGTTATCCATCTTTCGAACAACCGGCCCCAGTTCGATAATTTATTCGGAATTTCCGAAGGCACGCGAAGCGTGTATGTGAAAACACTGGAACGCGTTCGGGAACGCGTTCAAAACAGGTTCTGGAACGCGTTCGTCGCATTAGGTTACTTCTGAGCAGTACTATATATATATATATATATATATATATATATATATATATATATATATATATATATATATATATATATATATATATATATATATATATATATATATATATATATATATATCCAAATGTAATTGTTTGTAATGGATAAAAGAGTGCTCAATACTAATTACAAGTAGAGCGATTCATTTATTGAATTTATCTTAAAATATTGTCGTCGCTACACGGTGTTTCACGCCTGACCTTTTACAGTCAGACGATCTTCAGGCGACAAATACAGGATTGAACTCAATCCTGTATTTGTCGCCTGAAGATCGTCTGACTGTAAAAGGTCAGGCGTGAAACACCGTGTAGCGACGACAATATTTTAAGATAAATTCAATAAATATATATATATATATATATATATATATATATATATATATATATATATATATATATATATATATATATATATATATATAAATAAATAGAAATGCAATTTTGTTGTTAATATGAAGAGTGCTCGATGATAACAAAGTAACAGAGCAGAAATATTTATTTATTGCTTAATAATATTTACAAATCGCTACTCAGAGTTTCACGCTAATGCGATTTTCAAGCGATTGAGATACTACTCTCTAAGCTCTAACGGGTTTGTTTGGTTCGCGTTCTGGTTGCTGACGCGGTCTTCTTGCGTTTAAAATTCCACGCGCTGAATTTGTTTCTGTGACAGCATTTCGAGAAAAGCTCATTTCGTTTGTTCAGGAGATTTTCCGACTTTGACTTTATAATTTGAAGCTTTTCCTCTGTGCAGAGCTTGCAACGCTTTCCGCCCGGAGTATAGGCTTGTGCACGCTTAATTATTGACCATTTTATAGCAAATTCTTTGCAGGCATTCTTTAGTTTCCACACATATTTTGATAGTTCAGTTTCCGATGAATATTGGAGGTGCCTAAATGATTTAATGTGGTTTCCATATCTCTCTTTAAAGGTGTTTGATGTCATTCCTATGTATGTTTTTACTGTATTGCTATTCCGGGCGGAAAACATACATAGGAATGACATCAAACACCTTTAAAGAGAGATATGGAAACCACATTAAATCATTTAGGCACCTCCAATATTCATCGGAAACTGAACTATCAAAATATGTGTGGAAACTAAAGAATGCCTGCAAAGAATTTGCTATAAAATGGTCAATAATTAAGCGTGCACAAGCCTATATTCCGGGCGGAAAGCGTTGCAAGCTCTGCACAGAGGAAAAGCTTCAAATTATAAAGTCAAAGTCGGAAAATCTCCTGAACAAACGAAATGAGCTTTTCTCGAAATGCTGTCACAGAAACAAATTCAGCGCGTGGAATTTTAAACGCAAGAAGACCGCGTCAGCAACCAGAACGCGAACCAAACAAACCCGTTAGAGCTTAGAGAGTAGTATCTCAATCGCTTGAAAATCGCATTAGCGTGAAACTCTGAGTAGCGATTTGTAAATATTATTAAGCAATAAATAAATATATATATATATATATATATATATATATATATATATATATATATATATATATATATATATATATATATACACCCATTTGCAAAAACGTTGGCCGCAGATAGATAGATAGATAGATACTCGAAGTCTAATTAGAATTGCATATGAATACATTTGCATGGGATTTCAATCATATTACACAACATATGCAATTCTAATTCGATTTCGGGTATCTATCTATATATCTATCTGCGGCCAACGTTTTTGCAAACGGGTGTATATATATATATATATATATATATATATATATATATATATATATATAATATATATATATATATATATATATAGTTTATTATATATATATATATATATTAATATATATTATTGAATCAAATTGACATTATGCCTTAAATACAAATTTTCCAATCCATGCAAAACAGTACTTGTACCACATAATATGTTCTCGATTTCCGAGGTTAAGGCACGATATAAAATTTATCAGACTCGATGACAGAAGAGGTGCATGTGAGCCGATAGTTTAGCTGCCTTGTGATAACATGTCTGAGGAGGAGAAATTTCATGCTACTCTTTGGAATAACATGGATTTCGTAGACGAATTTCAACAAATTGGTCTCATGCTTTTTAATTTAGAGCAACACACGAGACTGACTGACAGATTTTCTGCACATGTCGCGGACTCGACATGGATTCAAATGCTCAAATTGTGCAAATCCTTGAAGAAATAAAACAAAACACCAAGTCAATCCGAAATGAGATTTGCCCCTCTCCAAGAGAAAACAAGGTATCATAACGGCGGTATAATATTATATAGAATATTTCACTAACTATTGGGAGATGGTACATATGTCGATTTAAAAATTTTAAAACTTTAGAGGAAAGGTTGAAAACTTTTTGCAAACAAAAAACTTCAGAACATAACTGTATGTCTACACCATGCATTAAATTTTTCGTGCCCAAAATTGAATGTCTATCGCAGGTAAATGGGCATATAGGCTATATAGCATTCCGATTGTGATTTTTGCCAATTCACTCGATGCAGGTAAATTCTAGAGGTTTAAACACTTCAAATTCAAGGCAGGAACTACAGGGTGTATCAAAAAAAAGTAAACAATTTTGAAATGTTTAGAAAACTATGAATTTATCAAAATATCTCATAGATTTGTGCTAGTATGGGTACTTTGGCATAGGTCATTCTAACACTAAAAACAAACAGAAAAATTAACCTCGAAAAAAGGAAGAGCGGTTTGTGGAAGCATAATTTTGAATGGCTTGTGCAAACATGAATCAGAGGTTTAAAATCCAATTTGAATTCAAGGGCTGAACGTTTGGGTATTTGTTTATAAAGAAACGAAATTTCAGAAATTTTGATGAAAATTAAGTCAGCCGCGCAACTGCGTAAACGTGGGCTTTTTTCCGTTTAACTCGCAGCTTGAGCAACTTTTTTCATGCACGAATGATTTCATGCACGAGTGATTGCTCGGGTGATTAAACTAAGAGTGAATACTCTGTTTTCATTCTTTTGTTTAATAAAAGGCTATGTTAATTACACCTGAGGGAATGCAAGAGGGATGTCCTGTTTTGGAATTGTGATTCAAATTCATTTGCTAGCTTGTTTTTCTTTATCAAACATTTGAAAAATGGTAAGGCCGCAGTACACTCCACAGCAGAGAGCTTTTTTGGTAACGGAATACCACTGTAATAACAGGAACGTGCCGAGAGTGCTGGAAAGGTTTCAAGAACAGTATCCTGGCGTGCGTTGTCCATCTCGAGCTGCAGTTTACAAGAATGTTTTTACAACACCATTGTTAGCTTAATCACGGGAGCAATCATTCATGCATGAAATCATTCGTGCATGAAAAAAGTTACTCAAGCTGCGAGTTAAACGGAAAAAAGCCCACGTTTACGCAGTTGCGCGGCTGACTTAATTTTCATCAAAATTTCTGAAATTTCGTTTCTTTGTAAACAAATACCCAAACGTTCAGTCCTTGAATTCAAATTGGATTTTAAACCTCTCATTCATGTTTGCACAAGCCATTCAAAATGATGCTTCCACAAACCGCTCTCCCATTTTTCGAGGTTAATTTTTCTGTTTGTTTTTAGTGTTAGAATGACCTGAAGATGCCAAAGTACCTATACTAGCACAAATCTATGAGATATTTTGATAAATTTATAGTTTTCTAAACATTTCAAAATTGTCTACTTTTTTTATACACCCTGTATAGTTGACTCATTTTTCAAGTGTGTATAATTCCACTCGAAATTAAGACCCTTTAAACCTCTAGTATACAGAATTCCATTACACCAGCAACCTGAGTTTAGTGAATTAATAGTCGAGGCTCTATCCAGATTAAAAAATTGATTTATGTCATTATGCAGAACAAACTGATATTTTATAGGTGTTTGTCTCAGTGCGGATAAAATTTAAAACGGTTGGTGACATAGACAATATACATCAACACTTTTATGCGAATTTTGTTTTGACTTTGAAATGGAAGGAACCACTGCTGAGAGGAAAGGAACAAAAGGTAAGATCGCTGTGTAGGTATGAATACATTCTACGATAAAACAAATTTCCAAGAAAATATATTCAGAACATCGATGAATCTTTGGAGCCAGGGCCTATAAATATTCCGCTCAAATTTTTCAATTTTCGAAGTCATACGAAATGAAATAAATGATAAGTCAATTTTGTCGAGGATCTGGCTTCAGACGGAATGAATTTTATACTCAACTGGATATATTTGTTTATTATCCTTCCGTTTTAGGATGTCGTGTGGAACGAGCAGTGGGATCCAAGAGTCAACTTCAAAAATCAACTGACCGTGGACAAATTGAAGAATACTCATGAATTAATTTATGAACCAAACGATAACATTCCGACAGTCAAAATGAGTAATTTTACTACTTTATTCACCTCACTGTTATTATCTTACGCAGAAAAAGGACAGCTAAAGACTGTTTTCTACTTATGCGTTTTCCATACGCACGTTTACGCACGTAAAAGTCTAAATCTTTATACATGCATGTTACCTAAGCATTTAAAATTTTCCGAACGTGTACGCGCGTATGCCACTATTAAAAATTTGATATGGAAGTCAGGTTTTGTAAAAATATTGTAGCAATAAAACTTTTTATTCTCTTTTTTTAAGATATATTTGCTGCTGGAACATTTAAGAAAATCTTCGACTTGCGTTACTTTCCATATGATTACCAGGTAATTATACTCACTCACTATGATATTCTCACTCTTTGTTCCAATTGTATATTTTATATTCCTTTATATGATATTTTACAAAGCCTGTTTTTAATAATCTTCTTAGTTCTCTTACATATCTATATTATGTCTCCCTGTCAATCCGTTCTATTGTTATTGTCCCATGCAGGCTTAATAAGCTAAATATAGTTATTACGGCTATGACATATGTCACTCACATAGCTATGAAAAAGTATTGGAAAGATTCAAGGTCAGGCACAAAATAGAGAGAGAAGGAACCGAAGAACTAAAGTGCCCTTTTAATTAATTGCAGCCGGAGCCCTATATCTCCTTCTTCCTTTTAATAGTTTCCTAAACTATAGTATATTGCTTTTCGTCACACGTATCGTGTATATGGCTCATTTGTCCGTTTTTCTGGTCTTTTTTATAATTACGCTGTCTTTTTTTAAATTCACAAATTGGTGTTGGAAACATCATTTTTCAGCCAAGGCCAAAGCATTTTTTAACTATACAACTTGGAAGACCCCACTGAAGGCTCCCACCTGCTCAGTGATGATCCCTTTCGAGTGTAAATATTACCAAAGTAGCTATGTTGAGAAGAAGAAGATATTTTTCCTAACAAACCTCGCTCAGCTGTTAAAGTATATTGATAGATTGTTTTAATGCTTCCAGTTCAATTCTATCCCTCATCCTTCCACTACTCCATTACCATGGAACAGTTTATAGAATCGATGCAGTGAAGTTTGTTTTTGTAATTTCGTACATTTCAATTATTTCGTTATGTAGAGTCTTTGTATAAATTTGGATTCGGACTGGCCTGTCGAAGTAATGTCTTTCGAAAAAAGTGACGTCAAAGATAGTATTACGGTGGACACTTTTACAGGTAAACATGTTTCAGGTGCTTTCTGCAGAGGGAAAAGTGGATTGAACCTACGGTGAAAATAAGAAAAATTATCCTAAAATCTTGATAATCACGAAAAATGCGTGAACGATTTCTATATCATAATTGCTATTTTCTATACGCACAGGTTGTCACGAGTGGAAACTTTATCCCCATGTTGTGGCTAGTATTGTTGAACAAAATGAACAAGAGGAACAATTATCTGGCACACACAGGAAGTACCCAAATTATAAAATCAAGTGTCATGTGGAAAGAATACCAAACTTTTATCTACTGAATATTGTTATTATTGTGGTAGGTTTTGCTGTTGTTATTATTCGTCAGTAAAATAAAACTATCAGGCCTTGGTTAAACATCACATTTTGGTCGCGTCATTACTAGATGAGATGTTAATGAGTTTTATCTATCGCTTGAGTTGCATTGGAAATCGACGCGTCGAAAATGGGCGTTTAACCCAGGCCTCAGAAATATATAATTTATCATACATTTCCAAAAAATTCGATAAAATATTTCTATGAGATAAACAACCACGATATCAACTTTTCTAGCACTAAAAAATATTAATTAATAATGAAAATTAGCTTGCAGGTGCACCACGCGTGTTTGTTTCTGTAAACTTCCGATCATTAACCACTTAACCCGGGAACTCATCATTGCACTGTTGAACACCGGGGGCCGGTGACACGTGGTTTTCTTTCAAACTGTTTATTGATAATGGCAATGACTAATGGGACGAATAGGACACATATTGGAGTTGTGGAGCTTGATTTAAGACGAGCAGAAACTGAGTACTGTTATGATGGAAACAAGGCGATCGTTCAACTCTGGTCATGCAAATTGCTAAAACTAAAACAATTGTAAAAATAAACTTACATAACAGTCCCGCTTGTCGAAGCGATGCGCAAACCACGATATCCACTATTGGTGCGACGACTACGAAATACTTATAAACGAGTACCTTATTTTGTACTTTACGACACGAATTTCAATTGCGACCGTGCTTGACGAATATACAAAACCAACTGAGTGAAAAACGTGATTTACGCAAAGTTTGCATGCTTTAAATTGGAACTTGTTACCGCGTCATATTAACAGCGTCATATTGCTTAATCAAGCTGAAAGCTGTTACACTGGGGAACCTGTTAAAGGTAATATAAATATATGAAAAAAATGTCATAACAGTACTGAGTCTCTGACCGTCTTACATCAAGCTCCGCAAGTGCAATATATGTAAGACAGAAATTGCTTTAATTTCAAATTTTGTCTTGTGCCTTATATAATTCTATTATAACAAGACAGCCATCTTTGATTGCGAAATCCTTGCATGATAAACTTTTATGGTCATTAATGTCATTGCTGAAAATATATAATTAACATTAATTATATAAATTGCCGCAGGACGATATCACAATTGGTTGCTTTTATGTAGATTTGTATGTGTGCTTTTTTAAACATGTAGTTTTCCATCTTGGGACTGACATTTTGTTCCTTTGCTGTGGATATCAGTTCACTTGACGTCAGATTGAATGTAACGCTGACCTTGCTCCTAACATTGGTCGCGTTCAAGTTTGTGGTATCACAGCGTTTTCCTAATGTCAGCTATTTGACCCGTTTGGTAAGATGATAAACTTGCTGTAAACTACTAAACTAAACTCGTAGTACATTCTGCCTTTGATTTGAGTAACCATATATTCATTAATATTAATCTTGTAAGTTTCCATGGTGACATCAACGATAAGTAAATTAGCTTGTAGGTACACCACGTAAGTATTTATTACTGCAAAGCTTTCGGTCCGTTAACCAGGCCTGTTTCGGTCCGTTAACCTAGCAGGACTGTATAGTCTACCTTCAAGGCGGACGTCAACGCGCAAGCTGTACGTGCGATTTCAGCGCGTTCGTACGTGAAAGTGGAGGCCGGCCTTCACGTGTGGTGTACCTAGAAGCTAAATTACTTATTCTTATTCTTTTCAGGATGAGTACATATTATTTTGCATGATAATCCAATGTTTGATAGCAGTGGCTCATGTGATTGGAGAAAAAGTCTCTGAAAAAACTAAGGTTCAAATCTTCCCTGGTGTTCTTGGAGTGCTCGCTGTTTTGATGCATTTTTATTTTGGAATTGAAATCTGGCGAAAGGTAAAAAAACCGGCAAGTCAGGTTCAGTCATTCATTACTCTACTGCATTATTCAAATTTTCAGTTCTAGCGACGGATTTCTTTTGTATGTGAAAAAGTTTACAATGAAAATCCGTCTGGCAGAACTGAACATATCACACACCCCAAATATGAGTTGAGTATATTATAAATGCTCCCCAAACACTTCCCTGGTAAGACGCGGTTACAAAAAACAAACACCAACAGTTGAATTAAATTACTTGCGAAAAAATCGCGCCTGAATTACCTTGACTTTTGGTTACACCCGGGCCTTTTATAGAAACTTACTGGCGAGGGGTATATTTAGGAGTATTTTATAAATTCATGTTCATATAACCGTAAAAATATTCGCTTTCGAAATGAAAGATGTTCGTTGGCGCATATTTGAATACGCATCCATAATCGAGTTTCTATGCCCTAATCGAGTTTCTTTGCGTAACAATGTCTTTTTGTTTCAGGTTAAAGAAATGAAAGCGTACTTGAAAAGAAAAACTGATGATTATGAATCATTAATACGGAAGGAGGAGCAGGGAAGGAGAATTTCAAAATTGGAAGATCAACAGGTCCGAAATTTATAGGAAATATTCATAGTGTACATTTAGGAAAATTATACTGCGAACCAGAAAAGTCGAAGCAGGAGCTCAGGAGGGGCACCTGCCCCTTTTAGCTTGTCTTTACCGGCAGGGGTAATGGGGGCCAGGCCAACATACTCTTTCATTTGTAGCTCATTTTAGCGTTTACATGGTAAAAATTACTAGTAAAAACACCAAGAGATTAAAAATAAATATTTGGAGAGAGAAAACACGATGATACGATTTCCAACAAACGAAGTTTTGCAAAGATTCTTTATTTTACGCCGCTACAGGAGTGTCCTTTCATGAAAATCTGCAAATCCCTTTTCCCCCGCATCGTTCCCTCATTCTTGCTGCAAACTAATATACTTCGACTGCATAGTATTCGACAGGCAACATTAAATTGAGTTGAGAAATAGCTTGAAGGTTTAGTCAGTGGCGTAGCCAGCCTGACGATTTGGTCATGCTATGCAAAATTTATGTTATTATCATTATTCATTTCTTTAGAAATACAGTCGATGAACACCAAAATATTAGCATAGCATGACTAAATTGTCGGGGTGGCTGCGCCACTGGGTTTTGTGCTTACTACTTTGGTGTAATTTGGGTTCTGTAAACTTGTGCAATTCAGCCTCGTAAAAGGGTGTCCAAGCGTTTTATATTTTACCAATATTTAATAAAACAAGAAAAAGGTCACTTCTTGGTAATCACTATTCTCACTTGATCTTTAAAAAGTGGTGAGACCCTATGTAAGTCTCAGTAAAAGTTAGCATAGTAAAATGAAGAATACAAGTTTATTTTTCTCTATCGGGGGCAACTAAATGGCGCCTCCTCCCCGTTACCCTCTGTGTGCGGTGGTGCAATCAGTAAAAATAAGTATCAAATTGAAAAAAAATACTTTTTTAAGACTGGGGGAACCGTTTACCACAGAGAGGAGGAAGAAAGCAATAATAGGGAACAAGTTGGTCATAATGAAGACATTGAACTGCTAAACAGACATGATTATAAAGAGGTATCACATGCAATCGTAACAAGTTTCCCCCATAAATTTGCATAAAAAATAATTGTTAATATATGGTTACAAAAGCATCTTATAAGAAACTGAGCTTCCTAAGCACCATGGTTCCTGATATCGGCTGGTTGCTCATACTTCGAAACAGAAACGTGCATAGATGGTTTTGGGTTTTGTCGATGTTTAATCGTAATATTTTTATTATTTACAGACTCCTTTGTAGAATCTGTCCCGCATGTTCGCTTTGGATCAAGGTACTTTATAATCTGCACTTTATATAGGCCTTTAAAATGTTTTTTCTTCTTGCACATATACGGCATGTACAATTATAGAATAACAACCTAATCGTCTTTCCACTTGTGGGGAAATCTCTCCTCTTGTGGAGAAATTATTTTCTCAAAAGAAGCGCAAGTTATTTGTGGTTTGCTGTTATATTTTATTACTAATCTTCTGTAGTTTATGATTGTTATTATCATTAGTTTAGTTCATTATTAATAATGTTACACATTGCAGCTGCAAAGCTGAATTGCGTGCAAAATTAGACTACAGCATACAAGTTAACTTTTAGATATCTATATTCATATTAGGGTTTTAAAGTGAATTTAAAATCACAGTTTAGAATTTAAAACATAATATTATGCTAGCATCATCGTTAGACTGAGAAAGCTCAGGACTCGGTACGTACCTACATATGAACAAGCTGATAACAATAAAACACAATGAACTATGCATGGAAATTGATTTATAAAAAAACGAATCATAAACACTGTTCACTCTTGTTAAAAAAAAACAATCACAAAACTCGTTCATATCAGGTAGATACTTACTGCAGGACTCAGGAGTAAACAAGTACGATCGTACTATAGTGGACCAGGAACTGCGCATTGTATTTACAACAATGGAGAGGACAATGTATTTCTAATTGTTTGCGTTTACTTATACAGTATATATAGGCTGAATAATAATGATATATAGACTGCATGAATATTATTGATATGTATATATTATTTGCTGCACATATAGTCAAGAATTGCTTGTAACTTGCTTCAACGGTCAAAAGTAAAAATTCGAACTCCGTCAATCGATGCGGAATATTGCTTAGAATAATTGTGCCAAGTTTCATTTTTTTAAAGAGCGTCGCCCCCTAACAAGAACAAGAAGAAGAAGAAGAAGAAGATTAGCAGCGGTTAGGGACCAGTTCCTGGTCCAAAAGGCTAGGTTGAAATTTATCTCAATTATCTTAGGTGTGTTTATATGATCCGAGGTACCATTGTTACTCCGGTTGGGAAAGTTAACCCCCGAGGCCGAGACAACCACTACGGTTTCCCTCTTTGTAAACAGGTACGGGTGACTCTTACCCCTAGGGTGACCATACCAGCCATGCAAGGCCAGTTTAAAACCTTTATTATAAATACTTGCGTTTCAATTGCTACATCAATGAATAATATGACGTTTCATTTTTTAACAAATCAGCAGCGGGCGGAATCCTAGCCAGCTGGAGAAACTAAGGCTTGATAATTCTTCAAATCATTCGAAAACCGAGTTCAATAATTGTTTTATTATTTATTTACAAGAATGAACATTACGACTTTGATTGTTCGTTTGAATTGGTGTCGATTTCACACTCCCGTTTCTTTATAGAAAATCGATGTCCTCAACATTTTCTTTCTTCAATTAAATCAAAATTCAATATTTCCAACGACATAAAAAAACTTTTTAGGATTGCGATAACAATTTACTTTGTTAGGTTTGTTTACGTTTGCGGATATTGCGCCAAAATAAGATACATTCGTTTTGCTTGTTATTTATTGAATATACTGACACTGAATAAGTAACTTATAAAGTTAATTAGAAAATCGCCCTTGAGTTAGGCAGTCCGCCATTTTGGAGGGTAGAAATTTTTATTTAATTAAACTATTCTATGATGCCTAACGGCCTCAAACTCTGAAACTTTTAGAAACTTTGAACATAAAATATAAATTTGTATAAGTTATGTGCTCCAATTTCGACCGCATTCCGTGTTTCTTTACCGGTTTTAATACTGTACTTTACGCCAGAAATGGTGGTCGCGGTGGAAAGCTATAAATGGTCTAATTCTAGCCCTATATAAAGTTTCCAGCATGTTTTAATGCTTTAATGGTCAAATGCTTTTTCTATATAAAGTAGCAAGCATGTTTCGCGCCCATATCACAACATTATACAATTTAACCATGATTTGGTTATGAATGTCAAATATTTTGATATGGATAACCACGCTGTTTTAATGATCAAATACTTGCCCTATGTAAAGTTGCAAGCATGTTTTGTGCTCATATACAAACATTAAACAATATAACCATGCTTTGGTTATGAATGTCAAATATTTTGATATGGATAACCACGCTGTTTTAATGATCAAATACTTGTCCTATGCAAAGTTGCAAGCATGTTTTGTGCTCATTAACAAACATTAAACAATATAACCATGCTTTGGTTATGATGTCAAATATTTTGATATGGATAACCACGCTGTTTTAATGATCAAATACTTGTCTTATGTAAAGTTGCAAGCATGTTTTGTGCTCATATACAAACATTAAACAATATAACCATGCTTTGGTTATGAATGTCAAATATTTTGATATGGATAACCACGCTGTTCTAATGATCAAATATTTGTCCTATGTAAAGTGGCAAGCATGTTTCATGCTCATCTACAAACATTAAACAATATAACCATGCTTTGGTCATGAATATCAAATATTTTGACATGGATAACCACGCTGTTTTAATGATCAAATACTTGTCCTATGTAAAGTTGCAAGCATGTTTTGTGCTCATTAACAAACATTAAACAATATAACCATGCTTTGATTATGATGTCAACTATTTTGATATGGATAACCACGCTGTTTTAATGATCAAATACTTGTCTTATGTAAAGTTGCAAGCATGTTTTGTGCTCATATACAAACATTAAACAATATAACCATGCTTTGGTTATGAATTTCAAATATTTTGATATGGATAACCACGCTGTTCTAATGATCAAATATTTGTCCTATGTAAAGTGGCAAGCATGTTTCACGCTCATCTACAAACATTAAACAATATAACCATGCTTTGGTTATGAATGTAAAATATTTTGACATGCATAACCACGCTGTTTTAATGATCAAAGACTTGTCCCATGTAAAGTTGCAAACATGTTTCATGCTCATCTAGAAACATTAAACAATATAACCATGCTTTGGTTATGAAAGTCAAATATTTTGATATGGATAACCACGCTGTTTTAATGATCAAATACTTGTCCTATGTAAAGTTGCAAGCATGTTTTGTGCTCATATACAAACATTAAACAATATAACCATGCTTTGGTTATGAATGTCAAATATTTTGATATGGATAACCATGCTGTTCTAATGATCAAATATTTGTCCTATGTAAAGTGGCAAGCATGTTTCATGCTCATCTACAAACATTAAACAATATAACCATGCTTTGGTCATGAATATCAAATATTTTGACATGGATAACCACGCTGTTTTAATGATCAAATACTTGTCTTATGTAAAGTTTCAAGCATGTTTTGTGCTCATATACAAACATTAAACAATATAACCATGCTTTGGTTATGAATGTCAAATAATTTGATATGGATAACCACGCTGTTCTAATGATCAAATATTTGTCCTATGTAAAGTGGCAAACATGTTTCATGCTCATCTACAAACATTAAACAATATAACCATGCTTTGGTTATGAATGTCAATTATTTTGACATGCATAACCACGCTGTTTTAATGATCAAAGACTTGTCCCATGTAAAGTTGCAAACATGTTTCATGCTCATCTAGAAACATTAAACAATATAACCATGCTTTGGTTATGAAAGTCAAATATTTTGATATGGATAACCACGCTGTTTTAATGATCAAATACTTGTCCTATGTAAAGTTGCAAGCATGTTTCATGCTCATCTACAAACGTTAAACAATATAACCATGCTTTGGTTATGAATGTCAAATATTTTGATATGGATAACCACGCTGTTTTAATGATCAAATACTTGTCCCATGTAAAGTTGCAAGCATGTTTCATGCTCATCTACAAACACTAAACAATATAACCATGCTTTGGTTATGAATGTCAAATATTTTGATATGGATAACCACGCTGTTTTAATGATCAAATACTTGTCCTATGTAAAGTTGCAAGCATGTTTTGTGCTCATATACAAACATTAAACAATATAGTTAACCATGCTTTGGTTATGAATGTCAAATATTTTGATATGGATAACCACGCTGTTTTAATGATCAAATACTTGTCCTATGTAAAGTTGCAAGCATGTTTTGTGCTCATATACAAACATTAAACAATATAGTTAACCATGCTTTGGTTATGAATGTCAAATATTTTGATATGGATAACCACGCTGTTTTAATAATCAAATACTTGTCCTATGTAAAGTTGCAAGCATGTTTTGTGCTCATATCACAACATTAAACAATATAGTTAACCATGCTTTGGTTATGAATGTCAAATATTTTGATATGGATAACCACGCTGTTCTAATGATCAAATACTTGTCCTATGTAAAGTTGCCAGCATGTTTCATGCTCATCTACAAACACTAAACAATATAACCATGCTTTGGTTATGAATGTCAAATATTTTGACGTGGATAACCACGCTGTTCTAATGATCAAATACTTGTCCTATGTAAAGTTGCAAGCATGTTTCGTGCTCATATACAAACATTAAACAATGTAAGCATGCTTTGGTTATGAAATGTAATTTTTTTATATGGATAACCATGCACACTGTTTTAATGGTCAAATGGTGAAGACAATGGTCTCGTAACTTTTAGGTCTGTGATTCGAATGAGACGAATATATTTTCATCATGACTTTGAAAAGGTATTTTGGCAAAAATGAATAAAATTAATGTAGCCAACACTAAGGACTGATGCTCTAGTAGCTAATCGTTGAAAAGCTTTCTTTTTTCTGCTAATTTGAAATTTGCAGACATGCGTCGTGCATGTGCGTGCACGTTGTTATTCGCTCACTATGTGCACTATTGCATTAATGAACAAAACTATAAAATTAATGTTCTTTATTCACTTCATTTCTTAACCCATCAACCTGTTTTAGCTTTTAATAATTGCAGTGAATGAAAAAGGACACTTTACGGTTAAGAAACATACTTAAACGTTATTGGAAAACAATAAAAGTCAAATTTAGTGATAAATTTGGTGGAAAAAACCCCGCGCATTCGCAGTGAACGAATAATAATCCCACAATCATAACATATAGAGCAATGTCATATATTATAAGCCTTTGCGGCTTTTGGACGTTGGAGTCGCATCTATTGGGTGACACGCCAATCTATCGGTTCTCCCTCTTGTCTTGTTTCTTCTCTTGCAAGTTTGACTGTGCATGGCACTCTAGTTTTTAGCCTGTCGCGCATGTCTTAAGCGGAAGGATTTAATTATGAAAGGAATGTTTTTTATTATGGATTTGTTACGTTAATTATCCCAAGAGCAAATAGTTTCGGGGTGACGACAATCGTCTCGCGACTTGCAAATTGATGGTTCGAATCCTGCATGGTGAAAGGGTTTTCAGACGACGTAAAAGGGAAGATTTAGGTAAGTTAGAAAAACATAGCTGTTGATCTCAAAATATTTTGGCGCGGCCCAGTGGTGATGTCGATCTTTTACCTCGTAAAAGGCGTGATTTTTTATGTGAAATATTGATAGGGTGTTCAATCTTTGCAAAATATCGAAAACTACCATACGATTTTGAGCAAACGTGACAATACTTTTTATGTTAACTCTCCTTAAGAGAGAGAGAGAGAGTTATTTAATATCTGAGCTTTATTCAGTTATAGAATTAGTTGTGAATGTTGAAACAATGTAATGAATCTACCAAATGAAATACCATTTTCTCCAAATTTCAATTTGCGACCTGAGAAATCAGACTTGACTTCATTGAACGTAAACATTCGCACCGTGACCATTAGCTTCACCTGGGCCACATATAACTAGCTTATTGTAAAGTAATTCAACTTTGCTCAAGGGATGTGCGTTTTAGACAAGAACATAAATTATCATTAATCTCTGTGCCATCCTTCGAAAAAAGGCCGCTCAATAAAATAAATAAGTGTAGCAATTCGCCACAAGTTCTGCTGGTTTAGTGGTGAGGCAATGCTCTCCCGGATCCCAAACTGGGGGTCCGGGTCCAACCATGCCTGATTTTAAATCGATGGTTCGAATCCTACCATAACCCTTCTCATTATGAATTTCGTTAAAAGGATTAAGTAAATTAAAAAACATTAGATTTTCAACACAAGATCTTGTAGTCTATTGGCGAAGACAATGGTCTCCCAAGTGGCAAATCGATGGTCCGAATCCTACCATAACCCTTTTCATTATGAATTTCGTGAAAAGGATGAAGTATATTAAATAACCATAGCCGTTAAGCACAAGATCGTGTAGTTTAATGGTGAAGACAATGGTTTCCCAAGTGGTAAATCGATGGTTCGAATCCTACCATAACCGTTTTTGATTATGAATTTCGTGAAAAGGATAAAATAAATTAAATAACCATAGCCGTTCAGCACAAGATCGTGTAGTCTAGTGGTGAAGACAATGGTCTCCCAAGTGGTAAATCGATGGTTCGAATCCTACCAAAACCGTTTTTGATTATGAACTTCGTGAAAAGGATAAAATAAATTAAATAACCATAGCCGTTCAGCACAAGATCGTGTAGTCTAGTGGTGAAGACAATGGTCTCCCAAGTGGTAAATCGGTGGTTCGAATCCTACCATAACGGTTTTTCATTATGAAATTCGTGAAAAGGATAAAGTAAATCAAATAACCATAGCCTTTCAGCAAAAGATCTTGTAGTCTAGTGGTCAACATGTTGGTCTCATGTGTCGACTGTCGAAGGTACGAATCTCGTTTTAGATGGAAATTTTAGTTATTAATATTAGTGTATTACATGGTAAGGTTATGGAGAATAAGTTGTTGTAGGCTTCCAACAATCACCAGTTAACCTTGTAGTAAAGTCGTGGACTATCAAGTACAAGATCGGGGTATCAAGAACAGTATGGTACGTTCCTCATGGCGGTGGAAAGAAAAATAAAAAAAAAATATAAAAGAAATGGTAGGAATGTTGATCGGGGGAGGTTTGTATTCGACTAATCTTTGCAAACCAAAGTTAATCTTTAGGGAAATCAGGGGATAGATAGGGTGAATGAGGGGTATATGAGTACAAAAAGACTTAG